GGACACTGGCGCCACCGGGCCCTCTGACCACCACCAGTAGGCAACGGGTGAAGTGTCTTGCCCAAGGACACAACGACCGAGACTGTCGGAGCCGGGGCTCGAACCGGCAACCTTCCGATTACAAGACGATCGCCCAATTCTTGAGCCACGATCGCTCCTCGTGTCAGAATCATTAGTGTATGAATAGAAATATATGTAAATAATCACATTACAAACCTTATTTGCTCTTTCTGGCAATATAATTTGGTGTTTTAGTGTCTTTGGCAGAAATTTTAAGTAGTGGCATAAAACAATAAAATATTAAGATAAAAAAAACCAAAACGTAAAACAAAGTATAGATGATACAGAGAACTGTGAAGCAGAATTTATGTAGTTAGAGTTGGTTTCTAACTTTTTTATCCTTTGTTGCAGCTGATGAAGAGAAGCTAGATGAACGGGCCAAGCTGAGCGTCGCAGCTAAGCGCTCTCTCTTCAGGGTGAGTTTTGACTTCAGCCTGTTGGGCATCTTATATTGTCTGAGTACGAGCTTCCAAGCTGTGGAAAAACTTCATTCCAGTTATGGGTATGATTGCGGACTCTGGGATTAATAAAGTATTCTGATTTTAATTTCCTGTCCCTCTCTTACTTTGAGGATTTAGAAATTTTGTTTTGCAGATGTGAGTCACAACTGAGCCAGCCTTATTCCTGAAATGATTTGTGCCATAATTCAGCAGCTTCTTCACTTTTAGCAGGAAGAAGTTGAAGGAAACCTTTTCTGTACGATTGTGTCAGGCTCTCACATTTTTGTGGAAGAATTGTGTCTCTGTCCTCTTCAGTGTTGCTTCAATCCTAAGCCTGTTCATTTCTCAGCCTGTAGAGTCTCAGATGTAGCTCTTATTTCATATGGAAGCAGTTAGGTGCAGGTAGTTTTGCTTGTTCATTTTGCTTTAAAAAATTAAAAATTAAAATGTTTATTTATTTATTTAGTTGCAAGATCTGCTAAGGACCAGGGGAGGTCTGTACAGTTTGTGTAATCAGCGGCGTTCATTTCTAAAGATGACCGATGTTTACCCTAATTATCTCCATCCAGGAACTGGAGAAGAGCGTCGATGGCGGAGCTCCTAAACTGCGGTCCAGGAATGCCGCTGTGGACAGGAGACTAAGACGGACACAAGATCGATCCAGAACTCAGCCGGTCACAACTGAGGAAGTAGTCATCGCAGCCACGTAAGGCTCTGTCACCTTGTTTGATATGTAATGTGAAAGACACCTCTAACAATAACTTACTTTCTTGATAGGCAAAGAGAAAGTGTATAATTATATAGTTCTATCAGGAAGAATGACTAAATAAATGTAAGCTTGAAAATGAGCCCATGGTGAGTACAAATGTGACACAAGAAAAAAGTACGTCTGGTCCTTTTACTAAGAACCTTATGATTTTTTTACTCTGAAAATGTTTCAAATGTGGGTTTTTATTCTCATTACTTTAATTTTTATTACTATAATGGTACTCATTTTAAAACCTTTCACAAAGAAATGTTTCTGGAGACTATCTAAAAGGAGCAAAAATTTTAATCGCTCAGTATGAGGAGGATTGCATAGTTCCGGGGCTATAATAGCAAAACCTCAACCCTCCTCCCCTTTTTGTCACACGCTGTGGCCGGGGAATGACCGCTAAGACTCCATCTACAGATCTGTGTGTTCTTCACAGCACATATCAGGTCAATAAATCAGAGGCGTAAAATCTTTAAGTGCATTAAAGTAAATACATGCACATCTGTTCTATTTGAAAAGTGCTCTGAAGGGAAGTTCTCCCAGATTATCAAAGCAGAACAAACTCAACTTTGCACAGGCATCCATCTGTAGAGAGACCTTGCTGTGAAAATGAAGTAAAGAATTTTTCCATACTGTAAGCACTGCTGTGAAATTCCACTCACCTTCATTATATTTGGGGCGCACTTTAGTGTAAATGTATGAAGAATAAGTAAGATCAGATCACCAACTAAGACTTTTTATTCTAGGATGTTACCAGTTTTTGTAGATTTAAACTTTACTGCGGGAAATTGTTTCGTAAAGAAAGCTGTGCCTCTGACTTTTTCACTGTCCTCACATCTACATGAAACTTTAACCACCATCCTAGTCTTCATGTTTGCACCTTCCTGTCTTCTCTGTCCTCTGTGTGTGTATGACTGTGTCCCTGTCCTTGACCACTGTAGCGCCCCATCTCACGTGCCACAAATGGTGTCCGCTCTTGCTGCCGTAGCACGCGTCCCTAGCCCCACCCTAGTTTACAGCACTGTCCCACCATACAGGTACACAGCAGACGTGTGTGCACGGATATGTATGCTCACATCGAAGCGCGGTGTTTGACTAACACGTTTGAGTCTTGGCTGCTATGCCGTTTTTCTTCGTTCACTATGTTTTAAACTATAGGATTGAGTTGCTGGTAAAGTTCTAATGCACAGTTTTAAGGTTTGGTGCCCTCATGTGTGATCGGAGGAAACTACATGAATTAATTGCTAAGATAGGACCTCTGGGATTTTAACTCACTGCTTGGTGAGCATGACTCACCCTGCATGTGTAGCAAACCTTTCTAGCTCTGTGTTGGCAACTTTTATTGGCTGTCAGAAAATGCACACAGACCTGCATCCTCTCTCTGACATGCCACTCGCTGGCTTGCATGAGCTCCCCACAAGCTTACAGAAGTCTCCGTTTTCTTCTCCCTCTTTGTCTCTTGGATGTCTTCTCCCCTCCTCAGCCTGCAGGCATCCTCACAGCAAAGTGCTGTTGCCCACGAGCAAGTGAGGGAGGCCCGGCGGGCGCAGGACACCAAGGAGATCCGGGGCCCGACGCAGACGTCATCACTAAAAGAAAAAGATACAAAGCGGAGCGAGTCTCAGGAGGAGCCTGACCTCTGCACCCTCAGCTTGGCTGAAAAGATGGCGCTGTTCAACCGGCTGGCTCAGCCCCCAACCAGGGTCACCCACACAAGAGGGGACACGCGGCAGCGGAGGGCCAACGCTCGCTACCAGACACAGCCCATCACACTGGGAGATATGGAACAGGTGGGGAAGCAGCAAGGTCACTTTGTTTGTCCAGTGCTTTGGTTCACTGGGAGAAGACCTCAGAACTTTGCTTTCTTACTGTACACATTCACTCTCAGTGTTAGTGTTTGTTAAATCACATCATGCACATGTAAAAAAAGAGTTTGCAGGGAAATCAAATGAGGAAAGGGCAAAAAACCCTCAGAAGGGGCAATAGAGGTATTTACAGGGGTGTATGTGTCATGACTTACTCGGTCAATCCAGTGTCTTATGCACAGAGTACGTGAATTAATATTTTTAGAGAACACAAGAGGAAAAGTGAAAATTCTGTTAATGAATATAAATGATGATGTAACTAAAAAGCTGCTGTCCAGCTCTGGGAGCAGATTGCTGTTTAAGGGTAATGAATGTTAACAGAGTTTCAAGTGGGCATGGATGAGGAATTATTCTAGTGTTCACTGAAAATTGAAGAAATGTGAGAGCACCGAAGTGATGATATATGGAAAAGGGAAAAAAACATTTAAAGGTGGAGAAATTGAGAGAAGTTGCAATGATGACATGTTATCTGTTAGTCAGTGGGTTTTCAGGGGTTATAATTAAACTCCTGTTACTCAAGTAGAAAATCCATGAAACAAGAACTGCAGCATGCTGGTGTTTCTGCTCCAGGAGCTCTCAGACGTAGACCTCAGTGATGAGCAGGAGCTGTGTGACAGTCTGGTAGAAGACCTACAAGTAAGCTTCCTCTGAACAGTCACCGGCCACCACTTGCCTGCATCAGTGGAGGCTGACACAGCGGGAGCACTCTTCTCAGAAATGACCGTGCATTTCTGTGAACAACACGCTTTTTTGGCTCGTCTCCACATTGGTGTGATTTCATTCTGAATGTACGTTGCATGGCCCAGCTTGTGATAAAGCTCTGAGTCATCATCCCCAGTTCAATAAAGAGGCGTGGATGGATGAAGCACGCATATCAGCGAGTCTGTGGGCTTTAAAAGATGTCTCTGTGACAAAGAAGAGGGAAACCAAAAGCAGTTCAACTCCCATCTACAGCCACAGGGGTTGAAAGTTTGATTGTGGGGGAAGTATGAGAGAGAAATTTGAAGCAAAAGCGAGTTAATGGATGGATACATGTTGCAAGTTTCCTTGACATGGCTGCTTTCTGTTGCTTGTCATTTGTTCCTCAGGAGAAGTGCCAGGTTAGTTCTCCTCTATGGATTATGAACCTAGTTGTTATAAACTGAAAGTGTTTGTCATGCGTTGTGCGTCGGCGGCTGCTGGCATGGCTTTGTGATGTGGGCTGACCATTAAGAGAGGCTGCTGTGTGATGCCCAGGAAGTGCACTGAGTCAGGCAGGCTGTGATTAGTCAGCGTTATTCTCTCGATTGTTTGTGTGTGCACTTTGCCCGAGCCGTTTCTCAGCCTCTGTAGCAAACTGACCCACTTCTTTGTCTGTCTGCATTACACAGCTTCAAAACGGCACAGGCTCTCGGTTTGGACACCACCTATCTTCCTCGTCTTCCTCTGCACTCAGAGCAGGCGGGACGGTGTCCAGTGACCACGCCGGAGACATCCACATATCCAC